CTGATCGAAGATCACATGGACAAGGAACCTATATCAAGACACTTCTGTTCACCTCTTTTGCTCACTTCGAAGCAAAGGTTGCGACTCGGTCAGCTGATCGAAGATCACATGGACAAGGATGTTTTATAACGACATGTTGCTCCAACCATCCATTCATCAATCGCAACTACCTGAAAGTAAAATTTTCTTCACAAACATCAGAGTATGTTCAAAGTGACAAATGAATGATAATGATCAGTATTATGTCATTTGTTTATTTTCATCAATATGAAACAAATATTGGAAAATCTGCAGCTAATCCGTCATCATATATCAAATGAATAATCCTAACGAAAGATCTATTCACTTAATTTATTCATTTGGTGTCAAAATAGGTGCATTGATCGTAGCTCATGCACTATGGCACGACTACTGAATAATGATAAAGCTTGAAGTAATTCCAATATGGAGAGTTTCATTCATATATTTTTCCTTATTCATACGAAAGATGATGCATTGTTAAGTATATAAAAGATTGCATGTTAAATGAATCATTTTCACCAATTGTTTGTTCATCTATCTTTCGTATTATGAAATGATGATCGATTCTTGTTCATGTTGATCAGCGATCGTGTAGCTGGTGAATATGCATTATCGAGATTTTGTTCACTTACGGTGATCAATTTGAATTTCAACATCTGAGTTACGTATGATCGAAAAAGTTCTCATGATATGTAAACTATCATTCGCCAAAACGTTTATTCAACTATCTTTGCAAATATCCAAATAACTCATGAAAATCAATACGCTGGCCAAAGATAATCAGATTTATGGATCAATACAACGCTGTCGATGAATCTATTCATCTATCTTGCTAGCTTACTTTAAATGAAGGTGTACGAGGTTATCTGTTGAGCAAAAGATTACATAGCGGAGGAATTATCATGATCTTTGTCTCCCGAATGCTCATGTTCAATTAAATGGCGTTTATTAAAATAAAAGCTTGAAAAATAAGCGGTTCTAAGAGATAATAAGGTGAATGACTGGTTGTAATTCTTGTAATAGTCGTGTTTATTAATGACACTCACTTTGTTTCTAGTAATGTGAGTCTCCAAGTTAATCATAGTTCAGATAAAAAATGAAGCATTCTGACCCTGGCTGTTATATTCACTTATATTACTTGCTACGATACAAAGTTTACCATTGACAAAGACGTTCGACGATCGTACCACAAACAAATCATCGCCATCCATTCCCAGCTTGCTGGATGATTTTGTTCATCTGTTTCACAAACATGACAGCAGTGATTCAACAAAGATAAACTTTTTGAATGTCATATGTTAAATGGATGATCATCATCCGTAGATTTTGTTGACCTATTTTGTCTTCATTATAGTTATTGTTTCGATTCAACGACACATTGATGCTTACATGTCAAATACATGCTTTGAATAATACCAACGGTCATATTCATTTGTTCCATTCACTTCAAAACACCACGGCCCATCTGTCAAGCATAAAGAAGATGACCTATCAAAGGAATCAATCGCATCAATATTCTGTTCATTTATGTTGGTTTTACTTCAAAGTTAAGACCTATAGTTCGGCTATGAATTCGAGGTTGCATGAAAAACGTGTGATCATAACGACATTTGCCGCAATTGGCGCAAGCGTTCTATTCGCGAAACATGTTCACTGAGAACGAATTCGTTCAAGTCGGCCTAATGATTGACATATTTTTGACTGTCGAATAATTTCGACGACGACGGTATTCTCTTATCTTGATTTTCTCAGACTAGATTTAAACGCTCTTGAATGGAGTGCAGTATACAAAAGAGGTGACTGAATAGTACGACCCTTAATCTCTTGTTCACTTATTTTACTTGTTGCAAATGAGAATTTTGTTATAGTGAAGTGTTGAAAAATCATAGAATAGATGAATACTCATAACAATAACTTTGTTTATCTACTTTTTTCTATTTGAAGCAAAGGATTAAAACTGTTATGCTTATCCAGTGGTTGCACAAGAAATGAATAATTCAAACCCAGTTCTTTCGTTGGATCGGGTGTGGCGAATTCTGGACCTTCTAAATGAAAGTTATCAACATTTTAAGTAACTTCAGCATAAACTTCATAGCTTCTTCTTTATCAAACAACATTGACAACGATAATTGAAGTATTTATCAAAAAAATACAATGTCTCCATCCTGTCCTATAGTCTCATGCATGCCACACTTGAAATCTATGTTCAAGTATTAAATATCTTAGATCTGTCGAATTCGGATATACGAAAACTCCGTTTTTTCTTTGTTAGGATATGAACTTGTGGTGCTCATCATAGACTACTATGATAAATATATCTAGACAGGGTACTTTTATCGTCATCAGTGCGATATCCGTATTGATTTGGAACTAGTTTTTCGAAAGTGCCCATTTCATCAGCGAAAGTTTCATTTTTTTTCGCATTTAATCTCTCAGTATTTAACTTTTCAATATATTGACATTAATTGAATCATATTTTTATTGATGTTTTGAGTTCTTGGATATACTATAAATGAATTAAAAGAGAATAGATATTGCCAAGATCAGGCTTGGCAAATCTTCAAGCTTCATAAGCATATGCAAAAAAAATAAGATCTTACACTTGAAACTTAACGTTGGGCACCTTATTTTGCTAAAAATTTTGTGCATGTGGCTGTGTTCTTCTCTCACGCATCCTAATCATAGCAAGAAAAAATGTGTCCGTCTTCATCAGTGGCAGTTCATTAGGAAGAAAAGAAATTGATTAATGTGTGGTAGGATTTTAGCTACAAATTCACAATATTAAAATGTCATTAAAATCTGGTGCCAAATGTGAGCTCTTTACTAATACGATCTTTTCTTAGAATGCACCTTAGAGTTCACACCCGCAAGCTTGTTTCTAACTTGAAAATCTTTTTCCAACTGGCTTCGATAAAAGAAATATGTGCTAGCTTCGATTCTCGGCATACTCATGTCCCTACTACTGAATATTATACTGAGAATTCTCTACAGGAATATGCTAAGTAAAATTTAAAAAAATGCTTACTTTTTGGTTTCATGGATGTTGCAGAGGCAGCAGCACTTGATAAACCTTCTGTTTTCGAAGTTGCAATATTTTGTTTAGCTGTTGTTTTCATAGTTGTTGCAGGCCCTGTAGAAATGACAGTGTCCGATGTTGTTGACACGAAAGGCGGCTCGAGATATGGTCGTGGTGGAGGTGTTTCTCGCAAATGAATCATGTATAAATCTTTAGCTGGACTCCACTTATCCACAACACGAAAGTATGTGCCAGGCAAAAGAAGGATTTCGCTTTCATCGTTGTAGAATGAATGGGCTTGAATAGCTTTACCATTAATACATTCAATGGTGAATAAAGTTCGTACACCGGACTTTCCAACAAATTGTTCCATCGCACGCATACTTTCCGTACATGAACTAAATCCCCACCATACTATATCTTCATCGTATTGATCGCTCAAATTGCCGCGAACTCCCCGCCAGACTGTAGCCTTCAATGATGGCAGTTTGAATAAAGCGGTGAGAACCAGCTTCAAGTAACGAAACCATGGTTTGAGCGGTTCTCGTCGTTTTGATCGAAGTATAGTATTGAGCTTCGTGTAAAGGCTTACACTAGGCTCTTCCCATTGCATCGTATAGAGATGAATGGCAGCCGATTCATCGCGAGTGAGTCCATCTGCTGGTTTTTTTGAGTTTTGTTGGGCCGTGTCGACCATTATATCGAGATCATCGAGTTGATCATCGATCGGCTTAATAGCCTCTTCAAGCGGCAACAATGGTTCGTTTGCATAGCCACGAATAGGGAGCAGAACTTGATGGGGCTCCTCGTTGGCGTCCAGAAATCGAGCATTAGAATTTTGGCTTGTCGCAGCAGCCATCAGTGTGCATTCAATTTACAAAAACGACGACAACTGACATTCACCTTTATATTTATATTGATTCTGCCATAGCAACATTGTAACAACAACTCGGAAGAACAGAACAGAAAGCGAAAATACACGAGTGTGAGACAACAACAAAAAACTCGATGCAACCCGGTGCAACTGGCCAAATTTTATCAAACAAAATAGTCTTCACTACTTTCAATAGTTTTCTTCTAAACAGAACAGAAAAAAAAACGATAAGAAGCACAAAACTGGGTATGTTGTTAAGATAAGAAGGACGAAAAAAAGCAGTTGCAGAATTATTTTTTACCAGCTCCTTAAGCAAACATTGCAACATTCACTTTAATAAAATGGGTGAGAGTGAAGGTGTGGGTGAGTTTTTTATGAAAAAAATTCAAAGTTTCATAAGAGATATGGTAACACGAATGTTGCTCCCCAGACAGATGCTTCCGCGATACGAGTATGAGTGTGGGTGCAAGTGAAGAGGTGACGGATATTCATATCCACATCCACAGCTTTCCACCATACCCACTCAGGGTGTGTGGGGTGTGGGTGTCGGTGTGGATACGGGTGTGCGGTAGCTAGGGTGTGCTTGGGGACGTCGCGTGAATATGATTACAGCTGTGAGCCTGGCTGTACGGTGCACCTTTTTATGAAGGTTGAGAAGTAGGCAGAGCATGAAGACAAGATGTATCCCACACTGCTTCGAGAAGATCAACAACATTATAGATGAATGGGTATCGATTTGCGTCTGCATCTCGCTACACTGAATTCATTCAAAACCATCTGCTTTTCAGGCATATAGGTATTGTGAATACGATAAGTAAAGATCGTTATTGCTACGTTGTGAATCTCTGCACGCGGATTATGCATGTTATGACATCCATTAGTTGTCCAAATTTATTTCCGAATATTTTTAATAACTTTTTAAAGACATATTTTATCTTCCTTTTTTAAAAAATTAACATACAATGTCAATCAAACCAAGTCATTAAGATTGGTTTCGTGACACTACATAGTTCAAGAATTTCTAGCAGCTCAATCAAACGAATGCTGGTCATTCTTTTTTATACTATATGTGAACTAATACAGTAGCCCCATCTTTTAAAAAATGTTGCTTACTAGCTTAAGCTTACATACAAGAAGTTGAACATTAAGATAAACATTGTGGGTCCATAGGAAACTACCATTAAATGAAACAAGATATGCTTACTAAATAACTAGGTTCCTTGGCTGCAACTATAATCAATGATTTAAGTTTTTCAATTTTATCACAGATACATTGTGCGTCATTCGATTTTAGTCATTATTCTATATAGATTACATATGACGAAAAGTAAACTCTAAAAAACCTATATACATTAAGACTGATTAATCAGCGCTGTTTCTCTTTGTTTTTCTCACTGATTTGCAGTGTTCCTGAAAGTCAAAATCATTAAAAAAAAATACTCAATACTAAAAGCAGACTTTAAACATCATCTTCTGAAACTAGAAGATGCAATAAGAATAAGTGTGACTCGCAATCTGACAAACATTTGCGAGATTGAAAATTGAAGAAAAAAACATTCTGCTTTTTTTCTTTTATACTGTATTCATCTCAGTGACTTATTTATGCAATGTAATCAAATATATAATTCTTGTTCCGCATATAGAAAACAACATGTATTTATTTCTTTACTTTTCGATATCTTCCTCATATGTATGATTCCTACTGGTGTCGCCTATTGCCTTTATATGATAACCAAAATATCAAGTATTATTTCGATGATAATTTCCAGATATTTTATTAATGCAAGAAAAAAAATCTCTTCATGTTTTTTTCATTTCAAAATAGGTATTATTCCATTCAATATTGATTGGCACATTAATAACTTTGTAAAACATACTTGAAATTTTCTTCAGGATTATTGCGTGATCGATTTCACTTGAACAATAAGACAACCAGGTATTATGAAAAGACAATAATTTTAATTTAAATGAAATAATTTGCTATTTTATTAAAACAGTTTTTTTTGCTGTACGTCAACAAGGTAACTCTTTGTGCTAATCTATTGAACTAAATTAATATTTTACAGATGATAGCGGACAAGGCAGGATTTCATTTGATTAGTTTATTTTGTATTATCTGTATTTTTTTAAGCAGTAGTCGTGTTAAATTATTTTTATTCTATTAATAGAACGTTTTAATAAATGATTCCATTGATAAGTGATCCACAAGGCGTTGATGGGCGTGAGGATTTTACGAAAATTTTATCAAGTCATGTAATAATTTCCCTTAGATGGTCGAAGCGGAGATTGTAGAAATGGTAAATGTGAGTTAAATCATTTCCTTATCAATTGATTATAAATTCATTTTTGTAAGAAGGTGAAGGTAGTGCAAAAAAGTTGTTATTAAGCCTCATCACCATTCAGGTTTGTTTATTTATTATTTCTCAATATCATATAATATTGATTTCTTTTATATTAGGAGTATGATGCAAAAATACATTATCTTAATGTGTTGCTAGCGGTACAAGTGTTTCTCATGTTTCTGATATTATCGGATCCGTATGTTCTTACATTATTCTGTTGAAAATTTAGGATAAATTGAATTTGTTTATTAGGAATGGTCTTGTATACACCGTAGAATTTTCACATTGATCTAGTCATGATTTATTAAATGTGGCTTAAAAAACCGAACGAATATTATTCCGATTATTGAAGATTCACATCATCCACATAAATATCGAATACTTGTTGGTTTGATTATAATTTTTCTGATTATTGTTTCTTTATGCGAAGATTTTTATTTTTTATGCATGGTTGATAAAATATTTGCTGATGAAGTAAAGAAACTTCAAAATGAAAAACTCGAATCGAGAGAACAAATTACACGTGAAGGGTGTGGGTCTGGGTGTGAGTGGGTGTGGGTGTGGATGTGGGTGGGTGTGGGTGTGGGTGGGTGTGGGTGTGGGTGTGGGTGGGGTTAAAGAAGACCCACACCCACACCCTCTCTGCTAGCATCTTACATGTATTTTCTTAGTATTTGAGCTTATTCATTCAAGTACAAATTGCTCGATCAATTTCCAAAGAATCTTTCCTTTAATTCTTTATACCGAATTCGGCTGATCTGAAGTCAATGCTCACATGAAGATGATGACTTGATTTTTTTAGATTAAGGTGAAAGAGTCGAGTAAGTGCATCTATTCAATTTCATAACATAACAGATGTATTTCTTCTTTTAAGTGAATATCTGTACATGTTCACCGGTAAGTTGCAGTCGAAGTATAGATATTCAAATTTTCAGCCACTGTAATTAACATTGGATATTATCATTTTTCTAATTGAGATTCATTTGAAACTATACAAATACAATATAGAATACAACGAGAGAAGAGAAAAAGATTTTGTTTTTGAGATGTCTGCTCTAGCTTTCTGATTTGAATAGACTTCGTTTATTTTTATCGAATTCTATCTAGTCAATTAGATTTATTTTTTGCGTCATAGAGAGCTTATTT